TCAGTGAATGACCCCAGGTGAGACGGTCTCTGTACATTCCAGTAAAAATGAAAAACTTTTGGACTTCCTCTGCTCAGACGTTGCTGCAGCCCCACTGCGATTACCCAATCGTCAGGCCAAAACCACACTGGAATTTGTTCTTCTTGTGGTTCAGGAAGGCTCCCATCGCTAAGGTCAGGGGTAACGGAACCAGCTTCTTCTCTAAAGTTGCACCAACGACCCAGTTACTGTCTACTGACCCTGCGGAGCAAATAGGAGAAGGCACTGATGGTGTACACAACCTTCAACATTTCATCCTCATCTCCAACGTGTCACCACTTGGTTCGTTCACCTGACCGTATCAGGGCCAACAGTCATTATCTGTGTGTTCTTCCCCACAACTCAATGCCACTGACTGTATTGTTAGGAGACTTTGCGGCCTGTCCCAGCTCTCTCTAACTAGTTCCACCTCACCGTTTCCTTTCCTTATTCATTCACGGGATGAGGGTGTTGCTGACCAGGCAGCATTTATTGCCCATCCCTAATTGCCCAGAGGGCAGTTCAGAGTCAACCACATTGCTGTGGGTCTGGAGTCACATGTAGGCCCAGACCAGGTCAGGATGGCAGTTTCCTCCCCTAAAGGACATTAGTGAACCAGATGGGTTTTTCCTGACAATCGACAAAGGGTTCATGGTCATCATTCGACTCTTAATTCCAGATATTTATTGAATTCAATTCTGCCGTGGTGGGATTTGAACCCAGGTCCCCAGCACATTACCTGGGTCTCTGGATTAACAATCCAGCAATAATACCACTCGGCCATCACCTCCCGAAGCCACTGTGGAAGGAAGTGCCTGCATTTCTATAGAGACTTGTGAGGACACCGGCTGTAAATCCCTCAGCACGTTCTATAAAAGTTTCTTTCCTTTTTATAAAAAAAGGAGTGGTCACTGCTGTAGTGTGGGAAATGGGCAGTTTGTGCACAGAAAGCTCCCACAAATACCAACGGGACTGTGACCCAGTTCACCCACTCCCTGGTGATATTGATGGTAGGGGTGTGTGGGGAATGAAGTTCCTGCTGGGGAGAATGCACCCCGCACTGGCGTGAATACACGATTTCTACAAATTCCTTCCCTCTCTCAAAAAAAATCCCTGGTTAATTGTAACCCACCCAATTTCTCCTCGTCCTCCTCCCTCCACAGCTCTGCGCATCTTTCCCCCTCAAGTCAAAATTGTGAAAACTGGTCAAATTGGACCAAACGGGGCCTGGTTTCCATGCCGTAGACCTCTATCTATGACACTCACTGTATCTGCGAGCCCCCAACCCCTTCACTTGCCCACATGGAAGCTCCTATTGAATCCTCTCCCTTTCAAGGAACAATAAAAATTCACTGTCTCAGCAGAAGACAGATTGTCCTCTGCTCTGATTCTTTAACTGATGGGGAAGGCAGTGGAAGGTACTGGTATTGTCACTGGAACATTCTGGGGACACAAGGTCAGCTGCCAGTGAGATTTGTTGACTTTTCAATTCAATAGAAATTTGGGGGGGGTGGAGGAGGAGGAGGAGGAGGAGAGAAAGAACTGGTGACCATGTAAAAGCTCGATTATTTCAGGAACAGCTTCTTCCCTGCTGTTATCACTTGTGAACAGACCTCCCATGTATTAGAGATGATCTTTCTCTGCACCTTCTTTGTAGCTGTATTCTGCATTCTGTTCTATTACCCAGATGTACTCATGTAAAATAGGATTTGTCTGGTTAGTGTGCAAAACAATACTGTATCTCAACACAAGTCACAATAATAAATCAAATCAAAACTCATTGGGTTCACTGACGTCCTTTTGGAAATTTGTCATACTTATCTGGTCCAGACCCACAGCGATGTTGGTGACTCTTAACCCCTGGGGGAATTGGCCAGAGACACCCACATCCAATAAATTTATTTGAAAGATTCTCTTTAACCTGTGTCCCTCTGGTGACCGACCCTGGGAACAGTGTCTCCCTCATCGACTCGATCAAAACCACCCCCCACCCCAGGGATTCTAAATGCCCTGATTCAATCTCCACCCCCCCCGAACCTTCCCTGCTCCGGAGGAGAACGATCCCAGCCTCACACCGCATAAATTAAAGACCTCCCCCCATCTCCGGACTGATTCAATAAATCCTGTCTCCTGCTCCTTCCTGATGTGTGTACGGTTCCGAATGGGATGTAGTTAGAGTCACACAGCATGGGAACAGAGCCTTCAGTCCAACTTGTCCATGCCGACCAAACATCCTAAATTAATCGAATCCCATTTGTCAGCATTTGCCCATATCCCTCTAAATTCGTCCTATTCATGTACCCATCCAGATGCCTTGGGAATGTTGTAATTGTACCAGTCTCCAGCACCTGCTCTCGCATACCCCCACCTAAATCCTGACCAGGCAGACACACACTCGACTGAAGCAAGTGAAGGTACCAATTTGTCAGCAGTGTTTCCACCAGGGGCCCTACAACCTGATGCTTGCGTGTAACCTTGACCATGGGCTCATTCCAAATGGGGAGGCAGGGGAGTGAAGATCATGTGGGGAGAAATCACGAGGGAACGCCGAATGCCACACTCCTCCACACACCACCCCCAAACCCGCCCTGATCATGACTCAGGGACTGAATGAGAATCCACAGCGATGCCCACGCAATTGCAGAGCTCAGGAGATAGAGGGGTCTGCAGGTCCCAGTAACTGAGGGTACAGGGAAGGGGAGGGAGAAGGAATGGTGACACTGACCTTTAAACAGCAGATTTGCTTTGGGGAGGTCCAGCTGATAGCCAAACGTCACGCTGGTGTCCTGCATCCGCAAGCTGGCTTCCAGCTCTACACCAACCTGTAACTGTCAGTGAACAGGACACAAAAGGTGACGTGAGAGACAGAGAAAGAACACGAGAACGAGAGAGAGAGAGACAGAGAGAGAACACGAGAACGAGAGAGAGAGAGAGAACACGAGAACGAGAGAGAGAGAGAGAGAGAACGAGAGAACACGAGAGAGAGGACGAAAGAAGCAGCGGGGGAGAGAGAGCGTGAAAGGGACAAAAAAAGATGGAGACAGAAGGGAGAAGGTGGGTGGCTAACAGGAAAGGGGGGGGTGGTGAGAGACGGGTGAGGTGATAAAAAGGTATGGATAGAGAACCAGTGACAGCCTGATCAGAGAGACAGTGAGATGGAGCAGGAGAATAAGGTCAGGGATTGAGAGAGACAAATGTTGAGGGTGGGAGAGTGGAGGTGGGTCAGGAAGATGGAGGCTGCCCAGTAGGCAGACAGCATGTTTAGCTGTACAATATCTACCTGGTCATTAGCTTTATGGTAGTATGTAGCGTGTGCTCCTGCCTGACTGAGGGTCAGGGTCCCAATCCAATTATTGCCTGTGAGGGAACAGAAGAACCAGTGAGCTGGAGTTCAGACACTGCCACAGTAACGAGACTGCCCACTGCAGCGGTTACGATCCAAATGGTCACCATCAGCAGCAGGAAACACAGTCTCTCC